GGCTCCAGGGCATCAGAGTCACAGGACCTGGGACCAGGCCAGGATGTGTGGCCAGAGACAGTCCCCTCTGAGCTGCAGGTACAGCTGGGCTCTCAGGGCTTTGGGCCAAGGGCAGGTGTGTGCTGCCACAAGCAGGGTGCGCTGTGGTACCGCCCTGTGGTCCCAATGCAGCTGCACATTAAGGACCTTAACTAATAGGAGCCTGGGCCTGTGGCTGGGCCCTGTGCTCAGTGATGTGCTGTCTCAGCAGGTGCTTCCGCCCAGGGCCCCCAAGGGTTGAGCCCACCTCCCTGCCCCTCAGTCTGGGGTGTGAGCTGAGCTCCAGCCCCAGGGCCCAGGGAGGGGCTGGGCAGTCCCTGGAGGGACTCCCATTTGCATGGCAGCCCCTCCCCTGGAGGAGGGTGGGGGAGAAAAGGAGGCCTGGGCAGCCCAGCCCCACTGTGGGCTCAGGGCTGTGAGCACCATGGCCTGGACTCCTCTGCTCCTCGCGCTCCTCTCTCACTGCACAGGTAGGGACAGGCCTGGGACCCGGCTTCTTCCCTTCCTGCTCAGGCTCCTGGGAAACGTCCCCTGGTCCCTGCCCATCACTGACAAGTGTCTGTGTCTGCAGGGTCCCTCTCCCAGCCTGTGCTGACTCAGCCGCCCTCCCTCTCTGCATCTCCTGAAGCCTCAGCCACACTCATCTGCACCCTGAGCAGTGGCTTCAGTGTTGGTGATTACTGGATAAACTGGTTCCAGCAGAAGCCTGGGAGTCCACCACGGTATCTCCTGAATTTTAAATCCGACTCAGAGAAGAAGCAGGGTTCCGGGGTCCCCAACCGCTTCTCTGGATCCAAAGACGCCTCGGCCAATGTGGGGTTTCTGCTCATTTCTGGGCTGGAGCCTGAGGACGAGGCCGACTATTACTGTGGTACAGACCATGGCAGCGGGAGCGACTATCATTATGCACAGTGTCTCAGATGACGAGGAAGTGAGACCAAAACCCAGGTCTCAGAGGTGAGGGCTGCCTGCACTTAGGGTGTCAATCACAGGAGCCCCCCCAGCGTCCCCTCATCAGCAAAAGGTCTGCCCGTCCCCCAGGCAGTGACAAGGGTTCAGGAGCCTGTCCTGGAGCCAGGGACTGAGACCAGCGAATGTTTCCTATCAGCTCACAGCCTGTGTCTGCA